TAACAAGAAACCAACGTAACCCTAAATGTCATCCATTTTAGTCTCACCTTCATCACACTGGTCACCTCTCTTCCCAAGAGGACAGCTGACACAGGAACCGTTCTCGTGATGACAGATCTGATTCAAACAAAGATTGCTGCAGCTGTGACGACAGTCCTCGCCATACTTCACAGACTCACAGACTGTCCATTGTAAAAGTTGTAACAGATGGTATGGTTAATATTTAATATCCGTACAAAAAATGTAGCATCTGTTTTATTTATCAGTTGTTGGAAAATTCAAAGAGTCCATAGGAAATTAGTTCAACCATCAATGTCTTAGTGTAACAACCATAAATCCGAACGTTTAAATTTGGTGTGCTTTGTTAAAGTTAACATTAGAACTTTTTGTCGACTAAAGACATTGCTTTTTAACACCATGGATTGTAACCCAAAATGAGATTGAAACGTTTTTCAGATTCTATTAATATCATCTTTTTTTCATATATAAAGGTTAACTTTCACCCTTTTAAAAATCATTAATAAGAAAGTCGTGTCTAAAACAAATTTAAGGAAACCTATGCTTTTGGGAATAGCAAATTATCACAAATGTATTAGTCGTATGAATACATAACGGATAAGAGTTAATTTTTGTCAACACATTTTCTACTTTCGTGTCTTTTGTGCTTTAGCGTTATTGATATTGTTAATGTTCACATGTCGTGAACACCTGAAGCTTAGGATTTTTATATTTTAAAACCAACAGTATTTACCTTTGTCACAAATGTCACCTGTATTGCCGTCTCTACACCTGTGACATTTGCCGGTGACAATGTCACACGAGTCTCCCTTGCAATTTGATGGACATACGTTTGAACAGTTGATACCGTTGAAACCATTGTTACATTCTGTCATTAACAGAAAATGGTTTTAATAAATAATATTTTTGGCAATTTTCATTACCCCCCACCCCAACCACAAAATCAACACCATAACAACCCATTTGCAATACAGAGATTACAATTTATTTTACTTTAAAAATATTTTCTTTCTACTCCCAAATTCCTCATGAGGATTTTTCAAACTTGTTTGTGGCGTATCTTTTGTTGTTGCCACATGTGACCCCTTTGCCAAATTTGATCGTGCTGACCTGAAAAGTTGCATCTGAGTTTCTGACACAGAGGTACATCTCCGGTGTGCAGGGTCGAGGTAGGGGGGATTGGTGGGGGGGTTGAGTGATGGGGAAATAAAGAGGGTGATTAATGAACAGCAGCCCGACCCCTTCGCTTATATAACCATCGGTACGAACTGTAGGACTTTGGGGTTGGGAAGGTTGGTGGCAGAGAATTCCTTTGCGTAATGCAATACGTAATTTTAAAGACATTTTTTTTAACGCTTGAAACTTAATGTGGGTTGTAGATTTGTAGCATAACATTTCTGTTGTCTCATTTGGACCCCCTAGCTCTGGTGATCGCGGTTGATCGTGTCTGCGTCGTTCAGTGAACGGTGGGAGAAGGATGTAAAGGGAAGCTCAGATAAGAGCTGACGGACTTTGGGGGAGGTGTTGTTGGAAAAGCTTAGGGGTAGAGCATACGGTAAGTAGGCGAGGAATAACGGATATCTTGCTACATGTTTAAAAAACGCCTCAGCTTTTAACATCTACTTTCCAGGTTTAATGCCTAGGTAAGGAGTTAAGTCACTCGGACAGGGATTTTGTGACCATTCGGATTTTTAATTTTTTTTTTCTTTAGTCGATAATTTAAATATTACTATTTTAATATTAAAATATAGAAAAAAACATTACTTGTAAAATTACTTTCATTCAAAGATTCAAAAAGTAGAAAATTGTGCAAAATTTCTTAAAACGTATTACGCAAAGAAAGTCTGGGCAGAAGTTTAGAAAAGCATTCTACGCAGCCAAAGCTTTGGAATGAAATATATATATAAAAAAACATATTTGTATGTTAATAAATTACAATTCCACCATTCGTGTAATTCTGCATGCTATTATTTTTGACACATCTCTAAATGTGTTAATGTTACCTTTTGTACAACTTGGTACTTGGAAGCCAGCCTTACATCCATTGACACATCGACCATCTGCTTTATCACAGTGATTGTCATGACATCGGTAGTCGCACGTTTGAAGGCAGTTTATTCCCCACCGTCCACGGTCACAAACTGGAAAAAAAAAAACGGGGAGTCGCGTAGCAAAGTGCTTACTGCTTGCGTCAAAAGTAGCAGTACTGAAATAATCCAGCTTGGACGGTGTTTAACGTTGCATAGCTCCAGTAGCCACGTTTTCCAAGAAATCAAAAGGAAGAAATGTTTAGCAGTTGTAGTTGGAAAGAAGTCTCTCAATGGAAGGAAGAGAATTCCTCTTAGACCCTAATTTTTGCTAAGATGTAAGTAGTCGTGAATAGCGACCGAGGGTGAAAAAAGCGGCACAACAATTTGGTTGAAGTTTTAAAAGATGGCAGCAAGTAACATAATTATTAAGTACTAGAATAAATGACTCGATGTTATCGGGACAATAATGGTTGATCTTTTGCGATAATTTCTCACTGCTATAGAAAAAACTCATCACAATTCATAACTTTCAAAAATGAAATGATATTTACATTTCTAACATCATTACGCTTTGAGAAGTATTTATCTGCTATATATTATAGGCCTACCCTACTCATTTTCACGCTCCTAAACTACTTTTTCCCCCATCTAAACATGACCTTAAATTACACAGTCTAAATTATAACTAATTCCATCACTTTGTCACTAAAGAAGTTAATTAAGGGAAAATTACTACGATAGAGAAATACTTTAGATTTACCCCTTTTCGTGCCCTTGAATTACAGCGTTTTTCTCTCATTTTTAAAAAAAAAAATTTGCCTTAAATTTACACCAAAAATTCTATATATGATATAAAAATATTGTATATTATAGGAAATCGTTATATATTGATATCTTCAGCAAAAAATTAAACACATTTTTGCCTTTTTAAAAAAAAAATATTTTATCAGAAAATCGTAAAACAAAGAATTCTTTTATCTAAAGAAGAATCGCGCAACCTTTTTTCCCGTATATAACAGATTTGAGTCTTGTTTTTTAATTTAAATGGTTAATCTCATAAAGTAGAAATCTTTTTACTTTTTGGAAAGTAAAAACAAAAAAATATTTTAATTATTTGAAAGCAAATATTAACCCCTATCTATTTTCAAAATTCATTTTCAAGTGTGTAAATTGATTGGGTTTTGATATTCATGGGTATGTACACAAGATTTGTTAACGCTATTGATCTTCTTAATTGGTAAACATACGCATATTTGAAAAAAAGAAAGAGTAACATCTCTTTCTTCACATATGTAATATGTAATACCATAGGAGTTAACTATATTGTCATCCACGTAAAAATGTACACATCTTATTTCCTACCTCCGACATGTATATACTCAAGAAAATTAATTATTTATCAAAATCATTCCTTTATTTTCGGACGTATCTTGTGTTGCCTTGGGCAAAATGAACATACCCATATTTGTAAAAAGAGAATGTAACATCGCTTTTTTACAAATGTAATACAATATGAGTTAACTATATTGTTATCCAAATAAAAATGTGCACATGTTATTTCCTACCTCCGACATCTATTTACACAAGAAAATTAATTATTTATCAAACTCATTCCTTTATTTTGAGACGTATCTTGTTCTGCCTTGATCAAAATGAACATCTTTTTTTTCCCAAATGTAATACCATATGATTTAAATATATTTTCATCTACGTAAAAACTTACACATCCTATTTCTTACCTCCAAAATGTATGTTCCCAAGAAGGTTAATTATTTATTAAATTAATTCCTTTTTTTTTGAGACGTATCATGTTCTGCCTGGGACAAAGTAACCAACCCCTTCCCCACCCAATTTTTAAATAAATTTAGAAAAATCTTCTACCGGATTGTTTGAGTTGATTTGATATTTATTTATACTTTAGCACGCTCACTGTGCTTCGGTCCTCCGAAATCTATTAAAACAAAAAAAGTTTTTAATTGTTTCTTAAATGATTTTTTATCATTTACAATTCCCCTCAAAGATTGAGACAAACTGTTCATCCACCATTTTTAAATAATTATTTATGAAATTTAAATTATATGCGTATATCCTAAATTACATTTTAAAAAAAAAAGGAAAAAAAAAAATAAGAATAAGAAAGGGCGCAAGTCCCTAAAGAAAATAAAGGTTAGAAGAACGTAGTTTCAAGAACGGTGGACATAGATTTTCGAGGGCGAATGCGGAACATGCTGGAGAACGTATATTACAACAGTTTTGGTTATCCAGACTTCCCCTTTCTAGTGCACTTCAAGAATGGACATATATTTTTTTGTTTCGTTACAACAGGTGGCATAACTGTGTTAACTGGTGCAGTCTCACGAAATCGGCCATTGTTCTGCAGGCTTTAAAATTTTTATTTTTATTTTTGTAAACTCGGTCCTCATTCACGACAGTAACGAATGAGCGGAACTAGTGGTCAACCATGGGTACGTTTCCCTCCGTGGAGAGACCCATTTCCAAACACTGCCAAACATAAAGCATTATTCATTTTGATTTCTGGGATCACGTGACTACTGGAGATATGCACCGTTGATAAACCTACGTCATAGTTCAATAATTTTTTTAATACTTGTTAGGGGTGGGGGGGGGGAGGAGAAATTCAGTACAGTTACTTTTGGCGAACGATATATACACGTAAATGGCTTTGTGCAGTTCAACTTTTTAAAGCTTACATGTCAGAAATATTTTATTCACATGCTATTTAGTACACATGATTTAGATTTCTTAAATATGAAAGCTTAGTGTGAAATCTTGTAACACTTTTTTGGATAAACTGTTAAAATGCTCTAATAAAATAGTTTTGTTTATTAAAACTCAACTCAATTTCGATTTGTTAGATCTGAAGTCAACAGCAAACTGACCCTTTTGACAGCCAACTTGGTGATAGCCTGACGGACATCCTGAAGGACAGGCTCCACTACTGACAAAACATTGTTCACTCTTAACAGCACAGTTGCACTGATCCTCACACCGTGGTCCATAATAATCACGATGACAGGCCGAATCTGTTATTTTTAAGATGATTAGTTAATATAAAAAATAGGTATTTTTATCACTTGAAGACAACAGTGTTGAAAGTACGTACACAAAGAAATAAAGAAATATCAATTTTTTAAATAATTGAATTTGAAAAAAAATCAATTTTATTCTCAGGATAGACTTTTGTGTGTTTTTCTCTCTTAATAAAGTTTACGTTTATTAATAAGTATTTGTTGATTTTAACGCAGTAGGCCTACATTAGGTTACCTAGAGTAATGATATAGCTTTTAATTTTGATTTTGACAAACTGGTGACTTAAGTTAACACTAGGGTTGTCAATAATTCTTGCCTATTTGTCAATGCCTTTATTTCTTTTTTACCTATTTAAATTATGTCATTATTTTTCACCAAGCGTATTTACCACCTTTCTTTTATGAGATGAACAAGAGCTTACGAATCAATGGCGCTCTTATTAAAGACATTTTGAGTTCTAATTTTATATACATAATCTAATGATCTTCGTAATCTATTCACTAGGCCTCTTTTGCACATCATGTTATCATGTATTTCCATCTACGTGACAAAGTTCTCTGGATCTATATTATTAACCAAAATAGGTTATTTTCCATCAGCTACAGGTTAAACGGTTACCGCAAAGAGAATCATCCAATGTACTCAAATATTCTGAATACAAGCCTACTCCCTTTATATCCACTTTCTCAAAGTGTGAACTATCATAACATATAAGCCTACCTCCATATATTTCCACTTCACTAAGGGTGATGTATCCATCTCCATATGTCTGAGGCAATGATATTTTTACCTGGCTGACCATTTGCTTGATGGATGAAGACATCACATAATAAACTTGTTGGGGACTTGGTTGAGTATCAGTGTATTGGAACACTTGATTTCCATACGGGTCAAAGGCTTCAATAGTGAAACCCTGCAGACGTTCTGGAGTTGAAATGTAATACTAAACAATCACCTCAAGCAATATTTACTAATTCCAGCTTTAACTTACAAGCAGTTTTTAAAATGCCAATGATAAGTTACAATCTCCTCTTGACGAACATATCAATTGGAAACCTTATTTGCTCACCTTGATTACTGTCTCTGTTGTACAGAACGTAGCGATGGATCGATTGCGTGTTTGCGAAATTCAAAATCCAGCTGGGATTGAGATCGTAATCGTCGGTGTGAGAACATGAATACATGGCAATCTCACTGTTCTGATCGCCATCGACTGCAAGTTCCGACCAGTAACCATTATATGTACTTGACTGTGACGTGTTTTGCTTCAGTCCAATGTTGCGGCCTTAGAGAGAGTGAGCTCAATTATTTACTAATGTTTCGTAATAACGATGCCACGCGTATATTACAATACGTTATTTCATTGAAATCGTTGTGTTAAATTATGAAGCATTTTTGAATATTACGTGAATTCTTAGTATTGTTATAAAATTGGACAGTCGATTACCAAATTTTTAAGAAATATATAAAGTTACTCAACCACTTCAGCGTTGGCTATTAAAAAAATATTGTGTTTTTCGGGTTTGAAGAGCTGTGTTATTGGTTATTCTTTTATTGATAAAATAAAATTCTTTTCATCTTCCAAGTAAAGTAAATTATGCTTTTTTTCTAACGTTGTTCATATTAATTTCAGAACATTCAGGAAAAAGGTTGAGTATTTGATGTGAACAATAAATAGTCATTCACCCTTAAGCCAGTCTACAAAATTTTTACTTATCGAAGTCTATGAATGAAGAAAGAGTGAATATGAATGGAGAATACGAACCAAACATGAATTGTGCACTCTATATCAGTATCCAACGATAGTCGCAGAAATAAAGAAAAGGCAGGATAGGCTGAGCGAAACACTAAGAAAGAATGCCAAATGACAAAGTAGTGACTTAAAGGCAGACCTTGGCATAGAGAGATGGAAGATGTGGAAAAAGATCTACATCAGTTGGGAATCCAAGCATGGAAAAGGAAAGCATCAGTTAGGTATCAGTGGAAGGAAGTGGTAAGGCAGACAAAAGCCCTACATGGTCTGTAACGCCACAGGAATAGGGTGGATGGATGAAAGTCTCGGAATAGAGCTTTGCGCGATATCAAATTGAGACTTAAGAACTCAGAGTCATAGAGAAATGTCAATGTGGATTCATTGACAATTAATTTCACTGCAGAAAAACATTTTAAAAAAATGTTTAATTAAAACCATTCTCAGCAAAACATAGAAATCTACAAATTAAGTGTTAGAGGAGACATAGTACAATACATACTGGAGTCGCTCTAATGATAGAGCCTCGGAAATCTTAGCTGCTGCTTTATAAAACACATCGTGATTGTAAAGAAATGTATATAAAGGTGTTGTCTATTTTGAGCATAAAGATTATATTCCCAATTTGTTGTAAAAGATTCTACCTCAGCTGATATAAACGGCACATAAAGATGAAATTCAACACCGGTGATGTAGTCGGCACATAGAGATGATACTCACCACCGCTGATATAGACGGCACATAAAGATGATGACGCCAGATTGGCTCCTGATATGTTGACTTGCTTTATAGCCAGATCCACATCGCAATAGATGTCCACCGTCTTGCTGTCCACTTGAGCTGTCCTCTGGTTGGTACAGTCCAGCATTGTTTTCCCCGTGCCATCGTTGTAGTTCGTTTCTTTCAGTGTTATTTTGATGTCACCCAATCCTGTCATGAAGTTATTAAAACATTTCTAACCTCCAATATTTTAAATTTTCCCAATTTTCGTTAAATTGAAAATAACTTCAATAACTCTATATGGAGCTTTAAAAATGTAATAATCTATTGCTTATTTATTATTTAAATCAATGTGTCACAAAATGTGGTATGCGTAACCCTGGGGGTATGTGAAGAGTTTGGTGGGGGTACGCACTGAAAGGGAAAAAAATGTTGTTTTTTTTATTGTTATTAAAGACTATGGAATTTTTTGTTAACGAAGGGTACTCAGTGTAATGAAAATTATAGACTAGGGTACAAAGATATTGAAAGTTTGGGAAACGCTGACTAGATACAATTATAAGTCTTTTTAATTATTTTTTTCATTTCGTATATATTTAAGGAAATGAAATAATGAGCAAAAAAAAAAGAGAAAAATATGTAAAATAGAAATGTATTTTTTTTTAATTTTATGATTGTAAGTCAAAGTTGAAGTAGTTAATGAGACTGAATGCTAAAATGTCATAGAATGCATATAATACATTTGAAATTATAGGTCCCATTATACAGCGTGACTGAAATTAATGACTAACACAGCAGCCAGTGTAAAAAGTGTATACTGCCTGTTACCTTGGCTATCGCCGTTGAACGTAAGTCTTAACCAGGTGAAGAACACTGGACTGTCCCAGGTGACGTGTATCCACTGACGGTATGATCCACACTCGCCACCCGTGGAAGTCGAGTTGGTTTCGACCGTTGCAGTTGACATAATGCCCGTTTTAAATAGGTCAACTGTGATACAAATATTAGAAAGTCTTTCAAATGAAGAAGATCTGAGCGTAATAAGTGATCATGGAAGGGGTAGTCTGTACGTTTGTAGCAATTATCGTGTAACGAAAATGCCAGTTGTTAGTGTGTTTAAACATTTTCTAAAGCGCAAATGCTTTAGTGAAAAGTGAATTACCCGGGTGGATAATATAAAATATTTTCTAATACAAGAAATTGTTGTGGGAGATGGCAAAATTTTCTCCAAGAGAGCTGAAAGTTGTGCATGTTGGCTAAAAAGATGTGGAAGGTGATACAATTCGTGCAAGATGGCTGAAAGTTTCAATGAAGGGAGGAATACTTATTACAATATTTACTGTAGACTGATGGGCAGCATTGGATCCACTAAAATTAGGACAGCTGTGAATCCAAACGTAGGACAGCAAAGGGGGTGCAATTGAATGAACGCAAAACATTTTTCTTAGGTCAAAGACCTCAATGAATAAAATTGTAATGATCCACTAAAACGCTAAGGCTGCAAGACACTGCGGCGCTAAGAAACTAATACTTTAAAACACTAAGGCACTAAGAAACTAAGACACTAAGGCACAAAGACACTAAGACACAAAGACACTAAGGCACAAAGACACTAAGGCACAAAGACACTAAGGCACAAAGACACTAAGGCACAAAGACACTAAGACGCTAAGACACTTAAACGATGAAAGTTAATGGAAACTCAAAACGAAAACAAACTTACAAATTTCTTAGAATAACTTTTATTGTACAAGTTAGATTGAGAAGAAATACAAATGAAAGAAAAAAATATTATTTGTAAGAAAATTAAATATCGTCTTTGTAGTTTCCAAGAAACGTCCAGAAAGAAGGGCGTAACCATTGGTTTCTGGACACGAGTAAAGAAAAGAAAAGAGCGTTGGGTTCCAATAATGTATTTAAACTCCAGCATAAAACTCCCGACGTTATAGTATCTTTCCAACTGGTGTTGTTGATTTTGGTGCGGGGTGACCGAGCGGTCTAAACTGATTCAATCTCAATAGCACGTGGCCTGGAGTTCAATCCCCACCTAAGCCAAGACAAAAAAAAAAAAAAAAAATCCCAAGCACCCACTGGTGTTGTTGATTTTGGTGCGGGGTGACCGAGCGGTCTAAACTGATTCAATCTCAATAGCACGTGGCCTGGAGTTCAACCCCCACCTAAGCCAAGACAAAAAAAAAAAAAAAAATCCCAAGCACCCCGTGTGGATGGGACTCGTTAATCTTGGACGGAAACTCACCTAAGAGAAGTCGAACTGTGAATTCAAACCAGGAGCCATAATTATCAATAATATGATCGTTTGCCCTAAAACATGGACGAAATAAAACGTGTACCCACACTTGATTTTAAAGCAAACAATTCTCATTTCCTGGGTCTTCCCCACCCTTTGTTTGTACCGGCTGTCCCTTGTTAGGCACCCCTTCTCTAGACCGTATTACCGTATTGACAAGCTGGTCCAAACCATCCCTGCTGACACGTCGGACACACGCCATCTGGATCACAAGCATCGGCAGGGTCACAATGACATTTGTATTCGCAGTTTGGTCCGAACCACCCTCTCGGGCAGGCAGTGGTTGGGAAATCATCACCTATAACAAGATTATCAATCATCTTATAAAACAAAGCAATCAATATATGTATGTAAAGCTACAATCACTCAGGTAAAAAAAAAACATTTCATGAAGTGCATTGTCCGAGCCACAAGGCGTCATTCGCGCGTTCTTTCAGTTCGAGCAATTAACATCATATCTAAGTGTCATACCTGAGGCTAAAAATGGCATTGCGAACAGTAGCGTCAAGGCAATGATTCCAGAGAAACTAGGAATCTTTCCCATGACGAAGATCTTTAAAGCTGTTAACATAGAACACGTTTCTTTAACATTATAAATATGGTGTTTACAATGACTCAACACTGTATTTAATTAAATATAAGGTTAACTTTTATGTTTTGTTGGGATCGAAGCCATATCAGTGGTCACGATTATTTTGTTAATGAGTTGTTTGTAATCTGTAATAATTCGAAAATTAGAACTAATAAGTCCCTGTTTTGAATAAGGGAGTTCAATGAATGGCTGTTTATTTTACCTAGTGAAATAATTTAATGTCAATATCCTGTGTTCAAATTGTTTTAGTTGAAGAATTAGGACTTTATTAAAATATCTATTTTTTTCTTCTTAAAATGTAAATGTAAAATTCAATCAAAAACATTTCCATCTGTTTGGATCAATAAAAGAATCTTATCTTACCATATCTTATAATTGTATGCATATTTTCCTTAAAGGACGAATTTATTTAAAAGTTCAAGATTTATACATTAATAGTCAACGGCCGATAACACTTCTTTGCGCAAAGAGTAGACTAAAAGTACTAAATACAGGAGTTAAAGCTTAATGAAACATAAGGATACAGCCTTGTAGCTATGGTCAGTGCCAACAGCG